GTGCAGATGCCCCACTCAAAAGGTGGTTCTGGACATGAGAGGGATATGTACAAAAGCAGCAAAGACCCTCCAAAGTCTTTGGAAGCTTCCACTAAAAAGGCAGTGTTCTCCTCTGAGCTGCCCTAACAAAGGGCAGCACACACCAATACAGGAATATAACCCCCCCTCCACATCATATACAGCTCCCCCTAAGACAGAATAAATGACACCACAGTTATCCAAGATTTTGTGCTCTACTGATACCCTGGCACAAAAAAGAGCAACTGGAAACCCACTGAGATGGCTCCAGGTCACACAGCTCATGTTAACCCACCTCCAGAGAGAACACAGCCCCATGGGGCCCAGCAGCCTGGGCAGGGTGTGCCACAAACCCAACCAGTAACCAAAACCTTCCTTACTGCATGCAATGGGCACCAGTTAACCACCAACATGCAAAAAAAAACAGGGTTAAATACCCTGGCTTTTAAAAACCAACCCAACCACCACTCTTCCTGCATGTTGTTCCAACCAGGACAGACCCCCTGTGACTGCCATCCACTTCATTAGGTCATCCTGAGCTTTGCACTGCCCTCTCAAGTCAGACCTTAGCTGGAGGTAGGTAGATTCCACCCTCCATCCCCCTTCTACTAATAGTACTAGCAAACACTTGTGGTTCTGCAACATCAGCACTAGGAAGTTCCTCCTGCCAGGCAGCCAAGATGAAGATACCTCTTCACATCCACACTCTCACCAGCTCCCACACAGCTTCCGAGCTGCAGGAGTACGAAGGACAGGGAATTTCATCCAGACACCCAGCTGAGCTTCACAAGTGTTCTTAACTTATGAATGCTGGCACAGATGAAGCTGTCCTTTCTGTTTAAGGCAACCAGGAAGACAGAGATCATGAACATGAAAGTTCTTTGACTTCCTCTCTATGCACCCTTGAGACTTTTACCCACAACTTCACTGAGAGCAGCTGCGAATGTCCTTTGGATGGGGAGGCCCTGCCACCAGAAGCCATCATCATGGTTCCAGTTCCCTGGATGGCTTTGGAAGCTCAGCAGTGCTCGGGAAGGTCTCTGTGGTGCTGTACTGCTCAGCTCAACTAAAGATCTGCCAAGAAGAAAGCAAGCAAACAGAAACTTTCCTCATTTCCATTAACAAAACAGTCCATTTGAAGAAAATTAGCATGCATTGGTGCTTCCCTGTCTAATTGTAGGTTCTTGGTTATACACTGCAAGTAATTCTCACACCTCAAGAATAAATAGGACTTAAGAAATAACTTTTCACCTTCACATGATTCCTGTCATAGGGTGCCATAAGCAGACGTTTTACAACTGCCTATCTGGGTAGGAAATAAACCTTTATGTCTGGCAACACCCATTTGCTTACATGGCATCACCTTCCAGTCAGTATTCTCAGTGCCTATGAGACAAGCATTCTGCTTCGGGTTTTCCCCCCACTTCTTAAAGCAGGGATATTGTTATATGTGGGCTATATAAAACACACTGAACAACTAACACACAGCAAAATACACTGACCTCTCACAAAGTCTTTCCTTGTTTGTATCACATATCCAAACACAGACCCATTTTGAAGTAAAAGCAGGTGCAAAGAATGAAAAGCACCAAACTTGGGTTCCCTAAAACACTGGTCAGAAAATAAGGTAAAACACAGGGAAAGGAGATGTTTTAAGTGTGATTCACATCACCTTGGGCTCCAAACTGCAGGGGAAGACACAAGTGCTGTTAGACCCAACAAGGGCACAGGAAACAGAAAGTGAAACTTGCCGGTTTACTCGCTAACTTAAACTGCACAATGGGTTTTGTGATGGATAGTGCTTTATTTTTGTAAGAAAGACAACTCACAGTGTAACTGAGCGGTGCTGCCCCTACTTCCTCAGCAGGAAGCTTCTGCCTTCCAGCCCCATCCTCATTCCCCATCTGTCCCTACCCCAGACCTCTGCCTTTACCTCTGTAGTTATTCTGCAGCTGGATCGGTATCACACTCTAAAGGTCTGTGCCAACTCAACTAGGTGGGAGGAAGCAGAGGCCAAAGTAACAGCTGGGTTTAAGTTGCCTTAAAATTCCTGTTCATTCACAATTGATTCCATGCTCCCAAACCCCTGATCCCAACCTCCTCAAGCCCTGTGTTTCAACAGGAACCCGAGTTTGTGTTTTTCCTTCAGTCAATACACTTCAGATCTGTCAAGACACAGAAAACAACTTACTGATACAATCATGAAGAGAGGAAACTCCAAAGGCAAATGAAAATGGCTGGATTTAGACCTCAGTTGTCAAGGCTGTATCTTGACTTTCAAGTACGAGTGTGGCACTGCTGAGTTTTGAGAGTCATTAAAGTGTAATAAGGTACCACTGCTAATGACAAGGTTTAGTTTTAGAAAACCCTGATACCCAGACCATGTCTTTCCTAAAACAGGTTTTTTCTCCTTTTCTTGCCTAACTGCTGGCCAGAAGATCAAATTCTAACAGGTACTTTAGAAACACACAGTCAAAGGAGGTTTTAACAACTGTGACATGAGCATTCACAGAGAAGTTTCACAGCTTCTCAAAAGACAACCAGAGCTTGAACATCGCCAAACCTTAAGAGGCTTTTAACATTTGGTTTACACCTTTTCATACACTTTTAGTGACATGGTTTTGTGGTGGATTTGGACTCCTGGGGTAAAGGTTGGACTTGATGATCTTAAAGGTCTTTTCCAATGTGGTTGATTCTAATACTGTGCTCTAAAATGTCTCTTGCCTACTATATTTTAACGTTTAGTTCAATTTACAAAGTGCAAACAGGGCAGATTAAAAGAGCCAGGCAGATACACAGGGAAATTTCAGCTGAATATATAGTTATTCTTTTGGCAAGAAAGTGCTAAGGGCTCACCAGTGGCAGAATAAGTAATCATCATGCTGCTAAACTGCCAAAATCCACTCAGTCTGCAGCATGACCTGCATGCAAACCCAGCCATGAAGCAGAAATGAAATGCTCAAGGCAGACTCCAACAATGAATGCAGATGCTCCAGTTCTGCTCCAGAGCACTCTGCTCCAGTACTGCAGCAGCCTGTATCTACCCAGGGTAATAGCAGGTGAAGCCAGGAACAGCTCCCATCATAGCTGAAGCTATTAAAGCTCCTTAATGAATGGTCTAACAATAACCCAGGCACAACCAGTTCTCTCATTGCGAGGGCCTTAACCATAATAAGCCCCTTGAACATTCCTATAGTGTTTCCCAAAGATCTCGCAGCATGAGGCTACTAACTGTGCTCTCAGAGCACTGTGAGGCAGGGATTATTCAACCTTTTTTTTTTCTCCTTTCATTTAAATACAGATAAAAAACTGAGGCAAAAGCTAGCAAACGACTTCCCTGTGGATACCCAGCTGACTAGTGCCATGCAGAATCCAGATCTTCCAGATTCCAGCCCTGTCATCAGCCAAAAGGCCATCATTATGAAGAAAGAAATTAGTCTGGTCTTATAAATAACATTTGAATATAAGCCTGCCTAAAATATTTGCAAGGAGCTGACCTTAAAACACCCGCAGAGCTGCACTGGTAGCCTGGGGCTCCAGTCACCAGCTTACTAGTCGGGGTTCTTGTCCCTGTGTCTCTCTGGATGTCTCCAGAGCCTGAATCCGATCCAAACTGTGCAATAGATCAGACCACAACCTCATCTGACCACCACTGGCTGGTTTGGGCTCAGCACATCAAGAAATAGGAAGACTGCTCAAAAATACAAACAATGCTGTTCTAAAATACTCAGGTAGCAGGAAAAAGAACCAAGCCTTAGTCAGCAACTTGCTGCTACTTTATTCTGAGGCACTAAATGATCATAGTCAGCCCGGCAGAAACCTCACTGTAACATGCAGCTGGAAGCATGAAACACAGAAAAGAGCCCCAACAGACCTCGATTTTGGAGCATTTTAGTCAGCCTTTATGATCTGAACTGCTGCTATTGGCTATCACACATTTACTTGCAATTTCTCCTGCTCTCGAATGCACGAGTTCAATGTATTTTGACTTATTTCATACAGTGCTAAAAAGAAGCAGGTTCTTTTCTGCATTACAGCTTCCAACACCTGCAGCAGGGTTAATTCCTGGACTGCATTTCCTGCAGCAAAATACTAAGCCCAATACTGATTTTGTAACCAAAAAAGCCTCTCCTGTGCTTCTGCAAGAGTCTAACTTCATTTGAAATTACATATTCCTGGCAAGGCAACCCCCTAAAATACAACACAGAAAATTGCAAAAGCAGAGTAAAAGTGAACAAAGATTTTGTGAGGTTAAAAAAGTAATGCCAGTAGTTATTTATTCTGGTTTTAGATACCTGCATTACTACCTCCCACCTTCCTGGGCCATTATCAAACTGCTGAAACACACAACCTATTACAACTGTAACAGGATCTTTTAGTCTCTGGGAAGAGCTGGAAATGGAAAGCTTGTTATCTTCCAAGGGGATCCTCCACAGAGAAAAGACACCACACAGAAATGCACACAAGAAATTGAGAAACAGCTACCTGAATGGAACAAGGAGCTGGAATGTTTCTTTTATTTCTGTTCCTCAGTGGAGCAGCAAAATGTGATTCGAGGTTTTTTTATGGGTACATAAAACCCACCTGATTTTGGCTGTCTGCTTCCCAAATGACCCAAAACTCCTGGGTATGAAAACATGAGGCTCTCCCACTTCAGGATCAGGCCTTTTCATGCAGAAGCAGCAGAGTGAAAAACTCAGTGCGCTCTCCCCAGGATGCCAAAACTGGTTCCATTAGTATGCAGTAAAGCACCGCCTGACTGGGGCAAAGCGGATGAGACCTGTTAACAGAGACTGTTTCCATCCCAGCTCACATTTAGGGCTCCATTATCTTATCTGCTCTGCCACTCGCATACTTGCCAGATAAGAAATGTCGTGTGTCTCCCCCCCCCCCCCTTTTGAAAGAAGCTTGGTGTTAAAACTGACAAGACAAACAACGTTCAGATTAAAAATAAGTTAAATAGTTAAATTCATTCAAGACTAAGACATTCTGCAAGTGGAAAGGGAGGATTTTCTTGATTTCAGTTCATTTGCATGCTTTAGGACAACGATCAGGTCATCTGAAGTTGAGAAACTGCTCAAGAGTTGGGAGGAGAGAAAAAATAGCCTGTTTTCCTTTTCCAATCTATGACTAAGAATGAGGCAAGCGAAGGGAGGATCTAAGATCCTGAAGGCGATGGCAACAAGAGGTCATTAGTTAATTCCCTCAGCAATAGATACTACTTCCTTTTATTAAAGAACAGCACATTTTTACGCTGTCACATACTTTTTTCCTTAAGGATACAGCATAACCTTTACCTGAACCAGTCAAAAGAAGCATCAAGAAACACACCAGAAGCCCTGAACTGAAAGGCACATTGTCACAAACCAAGAATAAGACTCACCTGATTGTTATGCAAAAACCTGAAAGTTAAGAGAGGACTTCCATACTTTCTTACCACCAAAAAGTACCACCAAATTTGGCATAAATCTGTTTTAACCAGGGCTTTACTGTTCACAAATAAACTGCAGTCAAGTTTTTACTAGAAGAGACAAACCCCATTCTAAGTTTCAAATGAAGGTTCCTGTTGTTGCTTAAATCCTTTTTGATAAAGCTTACTCAATGCACCCTTATGAACAACTGTTTATTATCTATATTACTACAGCACCCGTGAGCTGCAGTAAGACCTACAAAGCCACAGCAGCAGTGATGCCTGCTCTGAAGAGATTATCATCATCTAAAAGATGAATAGTTAAGAAACACAGGAGAGCACAAGGAAATAGGTACTTATGCTCTCTGTACCTGCACTTTACTGCTTTCCCTTGTGCTCTGGAAGGATCAAGGTGTTTTCTTCCTCCACCTGCCTCACCACAAAAACCCCTCCAGAAGTCCTGTAAAGACAAAAAAACCCATCTAGATGTTTAATGAAACACCCAATGAGTTCTCATACTCACTCCAGTGCAACGGGCACATCCACAACTTTTGGAAGAGCCCCAATTTAATTCACTTAAAGGAATTCTTTGCAGATTTACCACTAGCACACAGGAGCACATCCACCACACAGCAGCAGCCAGAGCTGTTTACAAAGCTTTCTGCTCAGTGTTAGACTGAAAATCCAAACTCTTTTTGCTGGGTAATAAATCAGTGCTCTGCATTTAACAATTTTCAGCAGCACCATATGCTATGTGGTCCCATATGTTCCATTACAGGGAAGAAAAACATCATCTCAACATGAATCATCAGTGACTATATTCTGTAAATCTGGCTTAAACTCTCACAGCGTTCAGAGGCAACCCCAAATAAATCTGCTCAATTTTCGGCCAGATTCTGTGTACCAGAATTGCAGATCATTTAGTTAAAATTAAGGGGGGAGAAGAGCTTTAATGTAGGAGTAAGCACACTATTTGCATCTCTGCAGAAGCAGCCTCACCAAGCACAAAATTTGGCACTCATTTATCAATTCCAATCTAATAATGACATCCTGCTCATAAAATGATAATATCTGGTAGTCATAACACCTTTCATCTAAACTGCTTAATGTCTGTGAAAATATGTACACTACTTACAAGATTCATTCCTCCCAGTGCTGCAAAGCAGCTACTCTGGAACGTGGCATTTGCCACGTTCTGCATCACAGCCATTCTGGAGAGGAGTTTGTAAGAAAAGTATAAACCCCAAACAAAGCCAAAACAAACCCATGTTTGCATGTCAGGCTATAGGGAAACACAGCAGACAGTGGATAGCTTCCTACAGAGAAGTTTATGCAGGACTTCGGGGGTAACAACTCCACTCTTAAAGCAACAAACAGCTTACTCTCTCTTCCCAAAGCCACTGCTGCTTGTGTTGAATCAAAGTCACAAAGGCCTGAAGTCACGGCACGCCAAGGTCACCAAGGGCCCTTCTTCTGAGGAATAACTTGGTCTCTTGGGCAACCCAGCATCAGAATTAACAGAGTGACAGCAAAAAGGGGGTGCAGATGGGGGGGGGTCACTAGTTGCAAACTTTAAATGCAACCTGATGAAGATATGTTCAGCTGAATGAGTTATGTTCTCGAGATTTGCCCCATTAACCCCCACTATCCAACCATGCCCAATTATATTAATATGCAGAAAGACAGACTGAAATTAAGCTTAATTTCAAACTTAATGTCCTTACTTGAAAGCCTTTTGTAGCTCAGGAGGAAGACATGCAACTGCACGTTCCCACTTCACTATTGGCTTCATTAACTTCGAAAGAAACCAGAGTCCATTTCGACCTAATATTCAAGGTGGGGGAAAAAACAGTAATTACATCCACATCAAGCTATTACCTGTTCAAGGGCATAAGTGCTTCATTAACAGCTCAGACAAACTTGTTTTGTAAGCTGCCTAGATTAAATATGAAATTTCCCTGCCCTTACAAATTAAATTAACAATTTTTGACACAAAGGGAAAGTCCAGTAAGAACAACACAAACACAAGGCTGAGGATATAAACAAGCCAACTTCCAGACTGCCCAAATCCAATGCATTCCTTGCCATCCTCAGTAAGAATGAGCTTACTCAACCCACCCAGCCCACCTCATTTCAATAACTTCTTTGCATTCACTTCTTTTAAAAAAAAACCAACAAATACTAGCTGTACTCCAGGCTACTGCTATCTGAGAGCAAAACCTATGGACCTTTATAAACACAGAATCATAGAATGGTTTGGGCTGGAAAGGACCTTAAGCTCATCCAGTTCCAACCCCCTGCCATGGGCAGCAACACCTTCCACTGGAACAGCTTGCTCCAAGCCCCTGTGTCCACCCTGGCCTTGAACACTGCCAGGGATGGGGCAGCCACAGCTTCTCTGGGCACCCTGTGCCAGCGCCTCAGCACCCTCACAGGGAAGAGCTTCTGCCTTATATCTAACCTGAACTTCCCCTTTCCAAGTTCAAACCCATCACCCCTTCTCCTATCACTGCAGTCCCTGATGAAGAGCCCCTCCCCAGCATCGTTGTAGCACCCTTCAGACACTGGAAGCTGCTCTGAGGTCTCCACACAGCTTCTCTTCTCCAGGCTGAACAGCCCCAGCTTTCTTAGCCTGCAAACATAAAAATTTCACATTTCCAATGGGAAGTAAAAATAAAATACTGATGTAATAGCTCTACAGAATAAGGACAAGATGGCATGTTAGAAGCATTGCTCTTTAATGCTGCTAAGCGGAGCTTTACAAAGAGTCAACAGAAGCTGCCACAGTATCACAACTAAGTAGGAGGGCAGTGGGATTTCCAGCATCCTTCAGGAGCTGGATGACCACACCCAATTAATTTACTTTAATTTCTATTTCAACTTTCCTGCTCATTAATCAGGAGCTGAGGTTCGCACAGATCACAGCTCCTGGTGTGCAATACCCATGATGATTTTATGTAGTGTGCGCTGTACGATCACACTGCATGTGCTGCAAACGCACGCAGCAGACCCAAGTGAAACACCAGAATGTGTCCTACCTATGGAAAAATAGGAAGAGATATTTCCTCTTTCATACCCAGAGTATCCATGGAACCCCAGTTTTATCAGATCAATACTTTCTACAGTATGTTTCACTCAATAAAGTCAAACAAACCTACCCAGTGACTTCAGAGCGCGATAACAGGACAGCGTCAGGAAAACTCCCTGAGCTGCCCTGCAAAGAACTCCTGAACAAGCAGCTGAAACGCACTTGCTCAATGTTCATGACACAGCACTAAGCCAGAGGCAATCAAATCGGGCTGGTTCAATCAATGATCTTCAAATAAGGAAGTAGTTTGAAAATCGTAAGCTTAAAGCACTCTTTTAGGCTTACTTTTTCTGTTTCTTCCCCCCTCTGCTGTGTGAAAGCACATCTGTTAAAAAAGCTGAGCATGTGCTGAAGTACAATTCCATAAAAATCTACTACTTGAATAGCTGGGATATCAAAATTGTACTTTTATTCAAACACAGTTTGCTGTAAATGCTGTGCCTGAACCACAGCGTGGTTCTGCTGAAAGAATCTGAATTCTTTTAGAGGAAAAGGTTGTTTAGCTATTTAAAAACATCAACCTTAGACACTAAGTTTTCTTCCCTGTACAATCAACAAATAAATAAAATGGAAAAGCGTTTCATGAACATCTCCTCGGCTGTCATTCCTCAGGGCCTGAATGCTGCAGCATTTCATGAGGCTACAGAATAACTGGAGCAAAAGACTGTAAATGGAGCAAACAACTAACCTGTGCTCCTGGTCCCAAGTCACTGCCCCTGCCCCTTGTGCAGCACACACTGCTGCCCCTCTCCTTCCCACCTCAGGGGTTCCTCAGCAGCCTCTATCAGCCCAGCAAACTCCAGCCCAGCTCCATACCAAGGTTTTCTCCCACAGGCAAGGCAGCTAATTCAAGTCAGAAGAGACAGAGCCCACTTCTGTTGAACGACCACCCCATCCTGCAACACACATTGAATAGCAAAAACCTCTTGACACAAGGTCCATGTTGAGAATGCACATGAGGAGAAATAGCTCATTTTGAAAAGTGTGGACTCACAAGGATCCTTTTTAATCCTGATGAGGAATGCAACAAAGCAAAAGTACCTACAGAGAATCACTGTAAAGAATACACATATAGAAGAATTCATTTGCAATCTGAAAACCCTCCCACTGGGAAGATGGAAACAGCCTACCTCAAGTTTTCCTCGAATCAGATGCCAGAGGAAGTTATACACAAGAAAACTTGATTTGACAAACTACAAACCACACATTAATGCAGATATTAACAGTTTGCAGCCTCACCGTGAGTGCAGAAAAGGTATCTGTCAGAACTTCAATGTTAAAGAAGAGTTTGTGAACAGGTATTTAGATTGAAAGCACTCTCTATATTGTTACATTATGCCCTGGGAGCTCAGAATTAGCTAGCTACCAGAAACAACACAGTTTTAAAGACATAAACAGAGATGAACAAGCGTGGTGTATTACTTCACAAGCAACTCATTATCAGTGTAGCAATACCGACATGTGTGCACTAATAAATCTAGTACAAGATACATTAAACTAATGACCACTAGCAAAATAAGCTACATGACACTGCAGCATTTTAAACACTTGCTGAAGATACATAAACAGACCTTGGAGCCTGGAGCCCGCTCACCCTCACCCAAACAGGAGCACCATAAACTGCAGCCCTAGAATCATAGAACGGTTTGGGCTGGAAAGGACCTTAAGATCATCCAGTTCCAGCCCCATTGCCATGGGCAGGGACACCTCACACTAAACCATGGCACCCAAGGCTCTGTCCAACCTGGCCTTGAACACTGCCAGGGATGGAGCATTCACAACCTCCCTGGGCAACCCATTCCAGTGCCTCACCACCCTGACAGGAAAGAATTTCCTCCTTATATCCAATCTAACAGCAGGATCCATACCTGCCAGCATTTATAATGGAAACGACAGTGGCAGAATCGAACAGCCCTGCTGCGCTCTTACCCAGCTCACTTTTAATGAGGCTGCGTGATTAAAACAGCTTCCACAGGAGAGGTGGGGAGCGTCCCACATCCATCCACAGCCCGCAGCTTCTGCTTTAGATCACTGTACGGCGGCGAGGGGGGGGACACGGTTCGAAAGCCTCTCGGCCACAAAGTGGAACTGAGCACATCTCTCCTATGGGTGAAGCCCTGCGAGGAGGCCACTCCAAGCACCTCCTGTGCGGCTGTTTGTAAGCAAACATGGCAGCTGGCGCTGGATGTGTGCTGAGCTGAGCACTCGCACACCTATGAGCTCAGGGTTCAAGCGCTGGAGCCCGGCCCAAGGGAGGCCGCTGGGTACGGACAGCAAACCCCACAGCGAGCTGCTCTGCTCGGGCTGAGGAAGAGACCAGGGAGAACCTGAAAGCTACTGCTCAGGGGTACTACATTTGAGCAGTATCAGCTATAGGATTCGGGAGTTAATTCTGCTTATGTTCATGCGGGAAGACACAAATATATATATATATATATATATATGAAACGAATACTTAGGGCTTAGTACTTGCCTAGTGTCCTCCTCCTTTCTCCTTCCCACACAAACTCGAGTACTACTAGATGACATTCAGCACCCCCAGTAAATCACTTCTCGATGTCATTAAAAGGACAGGCACATCTGCCAGCACCAGACCTACGCAGTTACTTCCAACTCAGCCTCAAGAAAGCTGACAGCAACCGAGCTCCCCTGCGCGCTGGAGTTTCACTAGGCCGATACCGGCGCCGTTCAAACGCCTCGCTCGCGAACGCACCCGAGGGATAACCCCAACGAACAAACGCCGTTTATCCGAGCTGGGGCAGCGTCCCCGGTTTGCAGCTGAAGGAAACGCTTTCCTCCTCCCCTCTCTCCACGTCTACCCTCTGCTGTCCGGTACCTCCAACTTCCCACAGCGCGCTCAGCCAACCCGGGACAGCACCGCACGGAGCCGCTCCTCCTGCAGCCACCACCGCTGCCCCCCATGCCCAGCCTGCAGCCCCGGGGGACCCCCAACCGCAGGCACACCCCTGAGGGAGCTGCGCCGGGAGGCACCGCCGGACACCACCCCCCCACGGCCCGGCAGCAGCAAAGTGGTTCTTTAGCCCCAAAAACCACTGCCCCCCCTCACCCTCCCTCCCCGGTGGGACCCGCCTGTCAGCCGGTTCCTCCGCGCTGCCTCTCACCTGGAGCCGGCCAGCGGCAGCGGACACGTCCGGAGAGAGGCGTGAGGAGAGCAGAAGGGGAGGTGAGGGGAACGGAACGGAGCCGTGCCCGTCCCGCCGCTTCCTGCCACGGCCCCGCCGCCGCCTGAGGTGCGGCTCCCCCTGCCAGGCGCGCCCAAGCACTCGGCGATCGGCTCCACGGCCTGCCCGCCGCGGGCGGGAGGGAGCAGCCGTCGGCGCTCGGCTACGCAGGGGAGGCGGCGGAGCGGCACCGCCGCATCGATGAGGTATCGGCACTCGACCCAGCCGCCTGCGCACGCTCCGCTTGCCAAGGGCTGGCCGTTAACGGCCGCGCTGGGGCAGCCCTTCAGAAGAGTCCTGTGAGGGCCTGCGGCGGGCGGTGTCCGGGTCCGTAACGGGGCCGGTTTGTGTGTGTGGGGGGTGGTGTCGGGGCCCACAGCGCGCTCAGGTGTGTGAGAGGCCTCTGGCAGCATCAGGTGTGTGAGGAGTGGTGTTGGGCGCAGTGAAAAGGCCGCTCATGAGGCTTTAAATGCTTGCTAAGAGGGTCAGGGCAGCTGCGGCAGTGCCGGTGGGTGCTGTGGCGGGTCACGGCAGGAGGAGACTCCTCGTAACAAAAAACCCACCCAAAAAGCTCTGGTCTGACTTAGTGGTGATGCCTTACGGAGGAAAAGCCTCAAAGGGGAAGAAGGAGCATTAGCAGTGGTTAAGAGGTCTGGTTTTAGCTCAGAGAAGAGATAGGGTAAGGTGGTTTAATGCTATTTCTGCCACACTGTGTTCCTCTACAGCCTCTGAATCTAGAAGCAAACAGTTTTTTATAGCTGTTAGAGACTCAACAGTGGCCTATTCCCTTTTAGTTCTTTTTTAATTGCTTGCCTTTTCTTGTTAAAGAAAACTGAAGAAGCAGATCTTTATCTTCCATCAGCACCTCATGCAACCTCACTCTACTAACTTGTTTCTAACAGCTGTTCTCGTAACACCATCATCATACAGCCTTTTGAAACCTAAGGTACAGAAACTTGAAAGCTATGTGTTCCAGGTGAAGGGTGTTGGTGGTGTTGGTATGTGTTCTGTGCTTCAAAGGCCAAGGTACTGTATTACATGTTTCCTCATTGCAGTCATCTAATTTATACAATAAATGAGCTGCCATGATCTCTGTTTATAAGCTGAGCTTCATAACTCTTTTTTTCTCTGTTTCTTACAAATGGAAGGAAAAAGTGACTTCTGTGTCAGCTGTTCTGTGAATAGCTGCTGCTGACAAAGCAGGAGGCAGGAATCTTTCTTCAGACTGAATGTCGATAAAACAATGAACAAGTTGGGGTGAGAGAACCAGCTTTAATGAAAACATGAGCCTAGAGCAACAGCTTGCCAGAGAAGTTCCAGCTTCCCCTGATAGCTCGTTGGGGTGTAGACAGTTAAGATTTTGCATTTGTAAGGGAAACAGGGCATTCCTTAAAGCTGAACCTCCTCCCTTGGGTTCCCACTGGATGCCTGAGAGATGACAGTAGAGGGTGTCTCCAGAAGGCTAGTATTAAACATGAGGAATTAGTCCAGAGGGAGCAACAGCAAGTGCAGTTCCATTGCTGACCACAGAATGAGCTAAAACCTTTGCATCAGCAGCTGTGTGCAGTTTGTTTCTCACTGGTTGCACACAGCTCCTTCGGTTCAAAGGGTTCCTGTGTGCCCTCCCATTAATAAATGCACCAGCCCTTTATGTGATGTGTGAGGGGTGGGATGCTCTCAGGGGATAAATCAGCTTCTGCAGAGTGTTGAGGCAGTGTCATGTGGGGTAAATAAACCTCATAAGGGCAGTCTTGGTTGAGACACACCTGCAACTGGTTTGGTATCCACAGTGGTACGAACCAGGTTTGCAGGAGCATCTTCATGGCCTCCTCTGGACTTGCTCCAACAGCTCCATGTTCTTATGTTGGAAAGATGGAAGAGATGCAGGCAGGAAATGGAGATGAACTGGGGGAAATAGTATTTATAAAGCGTTAAGGGGGCTCTGGTTAGTTTTGAGAGAGGGCTTTAGCCAGTTCCATTGCTGTTTTTAACTGTGTGACCCTATGACTTGGGAAAGTTACTTGAACAATTGAGCTAGGTGGGGAGAAGACAACCCCATGGGCACTGGGTACAGTGTGGGCATCCAGTCAGCTCACTGGTGCCATGTGGCAGCTGCCACCACTCCCTTTCCTGTTCTGCCCTTGGCTGCAAGCAGCCCTAAGCAAGGGGAAAGGTAAAGGGTTGCTTTAAATCAGACACCGAGTGCTGGGAGGTGCCCTCACTGGTCCTGGCTTTTGGCCTCTTCTCCTGGGAAAGGTGGTTTTGACCATGCTTGGCAGAGTGCTCTGAGTTAAGCATTGTCAGTCAGGGCAAACAGATCTTTGAGGTGAGCGGCAGGGAAGCAAAGTGCCTACACTGTGTTGTTATGAGTCTTTCCAGAACAAGGAGTGTGACCTGGCGCTCCTCGCAACTGCTGAATGCCTAGTTCAGAGAGCCTGTAAAAGCGAGGCAATGCTTTTGAGCTCAGTCCTGCTTTAGGTAAACCCTCTTTTCTTCCCCTGGTGAGGTGTTTATAGTGTCTCAGTGAGCAAGTTGTTCATTTGAGGAAGGCACCTCACAACTGTTAAGGGAAGTTCTAGCATGGCTCTGTTGGAGGCAGCAAGGGTACATAGTTCCTCCCTGTGACTTAGATCTTCAGAAAAGGGGCTAAATGAAACATTCAGCCTGAAATGGGAATGAATACTGAACGGGAGGTATTTACATACGGGGTGGGATCCTGGTTTGAAGGGTTCCTGTGTGTGAATCTCGCCGCAGGATCTGTATCTTGGTCCTTAAACGTGCGGCAGTGCCTCATCAGGGGCATAACTTGTTCCTGCTTCTGCAAAAGCTGCTGTTTCTTGGCGTTAAGCTGCTACTTCCCGTGGTGAATGTGAGCTCACAGAACGCTGACGGGGCTTTGTTGAGAGTGCGGAGGAACAGGAGTTAATTCCTGTATTAAAAGAAACTGCCAGGAGGGGAGTTAAGTGTCCTTACAAGTTACGGCACCGTCCTTATCCTTGGCGGGCGTCTGCATCCTGCAGTACCGGCTTCTCATAGCAGATGGGGCCATCTTGGTGACAAAACGGGAGAGCGCGGGCTACCGGAGGCCGGAGCAAAGCCCCTTTATCCCGAAACCTGGCACCAAGAGCCCGCAGCGAGCGCAGGCTTAATACAGCTTTAATACAGCCCTTGTCTGTCGGGGCCGGGTCTCGAACCAGCGCCTCCACCCGTTCCACACACACACACACACCCCCCCCCGCCAAGGACCTCTTTAGGTACCCGCCGCGTTCGCCGGTCTGCAGCGCCCCGGCACCGGTGCGTCCGCCCGGAAGCGGAAGTGTCGGTGCGGGCTGCGGCGGCGTTACCGGAGCGCCGGCCCCGCTGCGGCGGCCTCGTCCCGTCGCTATGAGCGCGGCTGGGCTGGTGTCCGCCACGCCGCCGGCCCCCGCCCCGCCCGGGGCGCCCGCCGCCGCCATGCCCCCCGGCCCCGACTACTACGAGGAGGAGGAGCTGGAGAGCGCCGAGGAGGAGGATGGCGAGCGGAGCGCTCGGGCCCGTGACTCCGATGAGGGTTGGTAGCGCGGCGGGCTGGGCTGTGGTGGCCGGGCAGGGTGCGGGAGCGGTTTGGAGAGCACGCGGAGGGTTCGATCGCTGGGGCTCCCTGGGGAGGAGGAGAACAGCAGAGCGGGTGCAGAGGTGGGATGGAAGCGGTTTTCTCAGGTGAGGGAGAGGAGGCGGGACTGGGGGTGTGGGACAACAGGGGTGGAGAAGTCCGGGATGTTGAGCTTGGGGAGGTATCTGTGGTGGGAAGGGGAAAGGAGGCAGTGAAGGTGTGCAGAGAAGGGAGTGCAAGATGTTAGAGTGAAGAGGGGCTTCGTAGAAGAGCCAGGACAGCGGTGCAGAAGGGGGAATGGAAGTAAAACCTGGAGTATCCTGTGGTGTGGGATGCATAAAATAACAAGGGAGATGAACGGCCCTTGGGCAGTGCCTGCTGCTCTGTCAGCCAGTTTTCTATCACGTCTGGGACATTCAGGAACGAGGTCCCAAAGCCAGACCTCTCTGAAGGCCAGCAGTGTGCAGCTCCACGGAGAGTAAACCAAAGTCCTTTATGGTGACCTGGACATTTAAGTATTTTTTTTTGTTTGTTTTGCAGCTAAAACCTTTTGGTTTATCTTTGGTGTATAAAATAGAATTGTAATGTGTGTAAATTTAAACCCATTTGTTCCTAGCTTTAAAGGAAACCAAGTAAGGTTTGATTTGAGGGGCCAGTCCCCCTTGTCCATGTGTTGGGAATGTATCTGTAGTTCAGGCTTTACAGCTGTACCCTGCCTACCACAGCTTCTCCAAGCTGGAGGCACAGACCTGTCCTTCGGGAGGAAAGCTAATTCATTCGTGGCTACCCACGTCTTATAAATAGGAGCCTGAAAAGGCATAGCAGAAAGCTAGCAGTCCCATACTGGTCTAATTTGGTTGTAGTTTATATTATCTATTCATAAAAATGGGGCTATCTTTATGGTAGTGCTTGTCTTTGTGTGTAAATGTTGAAGTACTTCTGTGTGACGTGTAGCTGAAAAGCCAGATTCAGACCCCAGCAAGTCACTTTGTTACCTTCAGTGAGACCTTTGTAGTCAATCCTAATAGCATCTGGTTGGAGTATGTTTGTCCAGGTCAAGATGCAGAATGAGTTACAGCTGTTTCAGTCATTGTCCTCCAGATACGTTGAGTAGAACTATAGGAAGGAACCTGTGAAATGATTTTCAAAGTCTTCCAACTGAACCTTAATGTAGAACCTGCTGTCTTAAACCACAAAGAAATTGCCAGACTATCTTAAACTGAGGTTGTTTAGACTCAGTGTAACAGTTCATTGCAGAGCTACCAGAGGATTTAGATTGGTTACCTTCCGGGGAGACAAGAGATTCATTTCACCTCTGAATTCATCTCTCCAGAGGCCCATCTAGCTGGTTGTGTGTTTGAGGTTAAATTGCCTGAGGTTTGGGAAGTTTGTTTGTTTGTAAATAAAACTACTTTGGTTTTTCTTTAACAAGTCATTTCTTTACCTCATTTAGACACTGAGGATGCCAGTGAAACTGACCTGGCAAAGCATGAGGAAGAGGACTTT